CAGACGGACGGACGCACGGACGATCATGCGATTCTACAAGCTGCATCTGACTATGTCAGATGAGCTAAAAACACAATTAAGAGCAAGTCAAAAAAATTAAGAGGCTAAGAAAAAATGCAGTTCGGGCCATCTCTGATAGAAGTCAGTAACCCTCCTGCATTCCGAACCTAGAAACAAGCAGAATCGTAAATTGCTGAAGCTCCAGCACTTGTGATTAAGCTTCTTAGCAATAAATGTGATTAATGGTATTTGAGTAAAAAATATGGAAATTATATCGTTTTTATTATTATTGTTTGTAGAAAAAACAAACATCTTACAAAATCCGGTCACAGACTGAGGAATAAATTAAACTACAGACTGTAGCACAGTACAGTGTTCACATTACGCATTGTGATGTTATGTGTGTATTGCGCATTAGTCTGTGTATGGTCTGTGATACGGTGTGGATGATCGTTTTGCATGTAAAAATAAATGTACAGCCGTTTAATAGAGCAAAATCTACTTGAAGACTAATATTTGACCTTCTAGATTCAGGAATGTATAATTAAACTCCAGTCCAAATATTATAATTAACGATAGAGACGTTTTAATATTATGTTACAACGTTACACATTTACGGTGTGTCACCACAGCCAGATTTTTAGTGTACCCCTACATTCGCTAAGCGGCGCCACCATTCAATTCCATAACACTATTTTGGCGTTGCGTCCAGTCTGTGTATCCGTTAGTCTGTGAGTAGGGGGGGCCTCCCCCGGAAAATTTTTAAATCTTTTAAATTTTTTGGGCCGTGCAGTTTCAAAACTGACCGTGCAAATCACGGCTAGATGGTTCGCTGGTTAATACGTTGGTTCGTTTGGGAAGATCTCGCGATCAGGATAGTACGTCTCCCGTGAACACCCGTGTGTTCGTCTGAGAAGATCACGCGTTCCAGATCGCGTGTCTACAGTGAACACACGTGTGTTCGTCTGAGAGGATCACGCGTTCTGCATCGCGCATCCTATATTATTTCTATGGGTGAGACATGCTAGAGGTGGGTGCCATGACAAGCAATGAAGAACTTTAATTAAATCTACATTATGCTTCTCATTTTTCTCTAACCGGCAGCGTAAATCTTTAACAAATAATTAACAATTTAATAATTAAGTTAAGTAAATCTTTTTCAGAGGGCCGTTGTATCCGTTTCTGATAACGTTTCACATAAAACATAAAATAACAAAAGGAAATGCGTGTACACTTTACTGCACGTTACACACCACAGATTGTGTTTTGCCACGCAACAATATAGTGATGCGGTAGCCCCTTAATTCTTTGGCCTTAAACTAATGAGTAAGGAAAATAACGGTCCTGGTGAGATAACCAGGGCTCACGCTATGTCGTGAGGAATTTCTTTACGGGTTCAGGTCGCCCAGAGGTGACCCGCCTACTTCAGCGGGATGCCTCTGTTGATGTGATCTGCCCTCCCAATTATAATCAAAATTATGAAATTGCAAATTTTGCATGGAATTGGTTGTGGTATGTTTCGTAACCAGGGTGTATGATATTGTTATCATGTCAGATTTGTGACACAACCCTTTCAGCCAAAAAAAATGAGCAATTAAAAAAATGCTACTTTTTTGAAGTTGAAGTCAGTTTGAAGTACAGAACATGTAAATTTGTGATTATTTTACTATAGGTATAAATCCTGATGATACACACGTCATCCAAAAATACAATATACCAATGAATATTTTACGTGAAATGCTAACGAACCTAATTTCCCAAATTTCATGCCTCACCATGCCAAGTTAATCATGATTCACACTATCAAATCGCGCATGCGAAAGCAAAGATCGAGACTGCTTGCCTGTATCGGTCCAGTTCTCTGAGCAGCACCTCTTTCTCGGACATCCACTGCCTCTCCTCGGCTCTACCCTGGTACTTCAGTTGGAGGTAGTCGCGGGTGCTCTCGTGAAGTAGGCCCTCGGTTTTTTGCAGCCTGCAGCACACACACACACTATCAACGCCTTCTGCATTGCACACACGAGTAGAAATTAACTTTCGAACAAGGGAGTGCAACGGACTCCCTGCCCTCAAAAAGAGGGAGTCCGCAGCAAAATGAGGGAGTCCGCAGTCTGAAGTTCAAAACTAAAGATAATAACAATAACGCATGTGCTTATTTTGAAGATTTATGGGGTTGCACGTCTGCCAAATTTTCTTTGGACATTTGCTGAAAAAATACGCTAATTCCGCGAGGCCGTGCTCTGGAACGAACTAGTTAGTATCGCAGAATGTTCAGGGAGTCACACGGACTCCTGCATATGTCAAACCAGGGAGTCCGACAGTAAGTTAGGGAGTAATTGACTCCGGACTCGCGTTAATTTCGCACCCTATGCACACACGTAGACACGATCAGTAATCAACTATTTATCCACAGAGAGTACACTCACAGCGTTAACACGAAAATGTTAGATGGCGTAAAACGTTAACGGGGCAAAATTATTGAATCATCGCGCACAGAAACTTCATACACGGAAAGTGTGTATTGTTTGATATCAATTGGCCATTTCTAGCATGCTGATCCGATTACGATTCAAATAGGTCATTTCAATTTCCAATTAGGATTCAATTCCGAAGACACTGGAGCATGACAGTGCGACGCTCGGCCTGCCGCGATCATCGTAAAGAAAAACAAAACAAGCGTTAACGTCTAATCTCCATCGTTCGTCACGGAGATGCAAGGTGGCGCCACCTGGAGGTGAGTTCCTCGATCTGGGCGACGTCGCGACATCGCATCGCGTCCGCCTCGTCCATCAGAACGCGGCGATCGTCGAGCAGAGCCTGCACCTGGTCGTGCGCCAGACTCGTCTGCTCATCCAGCTGCGCGTACAGTGCCTCCACCTGCCGACAGGAAAAATACTCATACTTATTCATACGATATATTATAATATATTATACATTATGCATATGTGGTGGGTGCGGCCACAATTGTAAAGACCTCGGCCACGCACGCGCATCGCATGTGCGCCTATGAAGAACAGCAGTGCATTAGCAGCTATCGCGGGCGGCTTTCTCCTCATATAATACACCCGCGTAACGCGGGGGGGGGAGGGTTATGCCGGCTGTGACGTAATGCACACTCGGTGCCGACGACAGCGGCGACGACGACGACGACGACGACGACGGCGGCGGCGGCGGCGGTTGCGCCACCGCCGCTAGCAGCGTGACACAAAGCGTGGCGAACGCGCCGCCATTCCCATCGTGGCGAACGCATTCCTAGCGTATAGCACGCAACGGCAAGTGTGGCAGATGGGGTCGTTGTCGTATCAGGTATGTACAGATATGTACCCGAGGTAGTTTTAGAACTGGAAGGATGTTCTTACACTAAAGCGAATGGTAGGGTAGGACTGCTGAGACTGATTAGGTATCAACTTTTGTAAGGGGGAAGGAATATATACTATTTCTCATTAGTCTTGGTTAGGTTTGCTTTGTAAGGTTTGGTGAGAATGGCATGTTCTCGTATCAGTGACGAACAATATTTCTACAAGCATTCCCGCCTCCCTTGAAAAAATACTACTCAGTATTACAGGCATTATAAAACCTGTTTAAAAAAAATCCACCTAGACACATGGTATATTCGATATTCATGTTTGTATTCTTTGCTATAAAACCATGTGCTCTGGTGAGGAGAACTCAGTATTACAGGCATATATATGCCTGTTGATAAAAAATAAACCACCTGGTCATATATACGTGACATTCATGTTCGAATTGTTTGCTAGAAAACTATCCGCTAATATTACTCAATATTACAGGCATAAATGCCTGTTCTTAGAAAATATTGCATTTTTTCATATAGCCTATACATGATATTTACGTTCGAACATTTTCCAACAAAACTATAGTCTAATATTACCAATATTACAGGCATGAACGCCTGTTGTTAAAAGTAATCCACTTTTTTATTTAGCCTACATGATATTCACATTCGAATTGCTTCCAACAATAGGCCTACTATAGTCTAATATTACTCAATATTACAGGCATGAACGCCTGTTGTTAAAAAATAATCCACTTTTTTTTATATAACCTACATGATATTCACGTTCGAATTGCTTCTAACAAAACTATAGTCTAAGATCACTCAATATTGGGCGCTAGCTGTGCTATCATCGCTCAAGGGGTCGTTGTCGTATCAAGTACTACAGATATGTACCCGAGGTACATATATGTATACACAAAGTGTACCAGACTTGTACTACAGAAGTGTACCCTAACCCTAACACTAACCCTAACCCTAAACATACCTCATTTAAAAATATAAACATAATACTAAACAAAAAAAATGGTTATGGTCATATATTAGTTTGTGGTTTAATGTCATTTAGGTTAGGGTTAGGGTTAGGATTAGGATTATCAATCATTAATCATAAATCATTAATAATATCAAAGTTGGGAACACTCCTAATAGAGCGTTAGCCGCGCCGCCACGCTCACATGTACACGCCACACTGTATGTGTAGACACGGCTCTACACTACGCATACACCAATAACCATACACCTACGCAACGCCGCACCAATAATATACGTACTATTAACGCCGCACAATAACGCGTACTATTAACGCCGCACAATAACGCGGCACTTAGTGCGTCTACGCCGCACTAGATGCGTACAATAACCGCGCACATACAATATACTCACAGCTAAATATTCACACAACAACTTAGACTTACCGCCATTTTCTCCTTCTTTCCCTTTCTTTTGTCAATAGGTGGCAGCACTCTGCAGTGACACCCGATTTTGCTACACTAGTTTGGGACGCCGGCCCTTATTTTCGCAAACGTAATCCGAGGTGCTAAAACTATGGCTAAACCACGATTGGGCCACGATGATGGCTGGAATGCGAGTTTAGAATTTCAACACGGGTCCCAATGCAACCAAAAGTGAAACACAGTGATGAGTAAATGTGGGATATGAATATGTAATCCCACGGCAAAGTATAAACTGATTACGGTAAATGTTTAGCCGGTAAGCATATTCTGTACAGGTGAAGTTTTTTTCTCGTTTATATTTTTTCTTCATGTATCTGTCTCTGTTTTGTATTGTATCACTCAGAAAGCTTCTATTAAAAAGAAAAAAGAAAAAACTGCTCAACACTTACCTTAATCACTTTACTTGTACAAAATATGCTGAAGTTTTTTTTTTGTATATATTTTTTCTTTATGCTGTATTTCAATGTTTTGTACTGTACGTATCACTGTATCACTCAGAAATTTTGGGGATCGTGGGTATATATTTGCTATAGTTTATAGTATAGTATGTACAATGTTATGTTGGACCACAATGGAAATAAGTGTGTTAGCCACGCTTTTTTGTGTTTTCATCCACGATAATTTTCTAGCTGCATTTCGTTTATTTATGCTGTTATCGATGGAATGTATGCTTTGGTAATTATCGAAATAAATAAATCAATCAATAAAAAACATCATGAAAACATCATGGAACATGGAATCATGAAAACATATGCCCACCCTCAATTCACTGTATCAAGAGTAGATAATATAACATTTATTACCTACTCTTGACTGTATCCGGAGCACGTTGATTTAAGCGTATACGTTCGTAAATGCTAGCACTATTTTTAGGTGGTGAACAACGGTAGAGTGCGTGAGGCAGGCCTGCATAAGGCAGGCCGCGTGATTTTTTTCCCTAGGTCAATCAAGAACATAGGGCTGTAGTAAGCGCTGTTTGAGCTTGTTTCGCTGCTCAATGACGTCACAGTGTCGTCATATACAGCACATCAAAAAATTTTAATTTCAATATGACTCAATAGCCTAGCGAGTACAGCAGAAGCGTCAAGTATGATAGGTCGGTGGATTGAATCCCATCCGTTTTCTAATTATTTTCCTCTTTTCTGTATTTTTCTATCTTTATCCGTTTAACATTTTTTTCCCAATTAACGCAAATATTTACATGATTTATTTACAACATTTTAATAACAACAATTAATTTTTACAACAATTAAAAATTATATTTTTATATTTTTTAAAAATAGGGTTAGGGTTAGGTTAGGT